CGTAGTCAGGTACCGATCGAGGCCTACGGATCATGCACGTACGCACTCGGAGTCTCGGATACGTACTTTGTTGTGCAGGAGCTGATTGACCCATCAGAACGGCCTTCTTCTTGCAGGTTGTCCAACTGTGACTTGTGAGCGGCGGCGAGGAGACGACACCGTCGGCATGGTGCTTTGAGCGCTAACACTGCCTCGCCATCATGTACTATCACTACAGGGAAATTATTTTTCACCTTATGGCCACATGTACGCCGAGAGTTTTTTATCGGTCACCCGGCGTATTAGGCTATAAGCCATGTGTCGGGCATGCTCCGCAACACGAACCCGCAAGACTCGGCGTACAGCCAGGTACGATGTAACGCGCCTAAAAACATGTGACGTATCTAAAGGCATGTATAATAATTGATAAGATAGTCTTATCTTAATCTCGCATGTAATTTAGAGATGATAAAAAAATACGTCTACAATAGATTATTTCTTAGCAATTGGCATATTTACTGGTGTCCATGACATTGAGGGATGGGTCCTATTGCCCTGACCGCCGAACCCACCCTTCAGTGTACTGTAGAACCATACTTCACTACTAATCTGAATGTCGTCAATAAAAAAAAGTACTCCTAACTGGTATTTTTTGCTCGGTATGGGAATTTACCCAGGGGCACGAAAATACGCGATAACCATGGGAAATTTTAAATTTCGACCGGTAACCAAAACCTTGGAAAGGAGTGATGCACAACCGGTTGCCGTTTCATGTCCACAGGCTACAAATCTTAGAAAGCACTTTGTGTTCTCCTTGTTGATGTGGTTGTTGTCGCGACAGTGAAGCACACGGGGAGCACGTGCTCTCTGAGACCACTAAAGTCTCTAACTCCAGCATGGTTTGAGTGACAACCTTCTGTACGGCTGTGATGTCCGGATAATTAAGCTATAGTAATCCTTTACTAATGAGGTCACGTCATTACGGTTACAGTTGATAAACTCACATTGTTCTAAATCCCATTCAAATTCAAATTCAAATTCAAAATCAACTCAAACTCAAAAGTTTTCAAATGTCTAAAATAAAATATTCATCTTGTGGCAAATTTTAATTTGTTAATATTGGTGGTGAACCAACATTTTAACTAAGTGTTTAAATGGCCTAGAGTAATTAAAACCGTGTCCTAAATAGAAAGTTATTTGCTTTTTAAATTATAAAAAGAAAAGGGGGAGAAGCCCGCGTGCCCCCCCCCGGGCCTTGGGCACCCGGACCAGCAGGCCCAACTGGACCAGCCCACTCCCTCTCCGGTGGTCTTCTCCTATTCCCTGCGTCGCTACAGGGGCAGGGCTCCCGCCCGACCACCTCGCCCACCACGTCGACGAGGGGATAAGGACGCCGACACAGCGTCCCCTCAGGTTCCCCTTCCCACTGGCCCCTCGCTCTCTCTCCCACACCCTCGCCCCCTCTCCGGATCCCTCCTCGCCGAGCGCCGTCACCATCGCCCCACCTCGCTCCACCATAGACACCGACCGGCCCTAGCCTCGTCGACGAGCCCGCAAACTCCGCATCGGGCCACCCCCTGCCCCGCAGCCGCTTGCCGTGTCCTTGCAGCCCTCCCGCGCCTGCCACCGGCCGCCGGAGCCGCGCTCACCGGTGCCCCGGCCGCCGCCTGCTGCTTCTGCTCTACTTTGCTGCCCCGTGTCGCGCTTTCCTCCCCTAACCACGCCGCCCTATTCCGGTCGTCAACCGTGCGGGCCCTGGCCACCGGCGGCGGCGCCCGGCTCCCACCGTCGCCGGCGCCCGGCTTCCCCCGTCGCCCTGGTGGGCTATGCCCGCACCCCTGGGGCTCCGCCCCGTTTCGCCCACGCCCCGCTAAGGCCTACGGGCCAGTTCCTAGTAGGCCCCACCGACCCCTTTTCTTAAAAAAATTAAAAATATGTAAACAATATATATTTAATTAATTAATCATGTTTAATGAACTATTTAAGTTTAATTAACCTGCTAACAAAACTAGGTTAAAATGCTATTAGCTATTATGTGTATGATAGGGGGCCACCCCCTGTTGACCAGTCGAACGTTGACTGGTCAACTGGGACCCCCTGGCCCACTTGTCATCCTCTGTGTACAGTTTTGTGTACACAGAGCTGGGTAGCCCTAACATTTTAAGAATTTTTTCGATTTAAGAATAAATCCAGAAAATGTTTAAATATTTGAAATTTAATAGAACATAATCCGTAACTCGGATGAAAAAGTTTTATACATGAAAGTTGCTCAGAAAGACGAGAAGAATCCAAATACGCCATCTGTTCGTCTGTCACACGTCCCTAGCATAGCGAACATTCAACTGTCCCCCCACCGATTCATCTGTCCGAAAATGCCAAACTTCGGGAAAACTTTCCCGGATGCATCCACCCTTCCCCGGTATCGTGTGACACCGCGTTAGAACACACCTAGTGCTGCTTATTGTCATGTCATGCATCTATTTGCTTATACTTAATGTTTCTTCCCCCTCTTCTTCTCCGGTAGACCCCGAGACCGTTGCTGATGCTGCTGTGATCGACCACGTCGATGACGACACTTCTTCCCTTTCAGCAGAGCTTCCAGGCAAGCCCCCCCCCTTTGATCATCCCGATATCGCCCATTCCATTCTCTCATGCTTGCATTAGATTTTGCTACTGTTATTGATTGCTCCTATTCTGATGCATAGCCTGCTTTTGTAATCTGATATTGTTACCTACCTGCTTATCCTAAAGTGCTTACTATAGGTTGGTTAGTGATCCATCAGTGACCCCCACCTTGTCCTTGTTGCCCCTGCTTCATCATCGATGACTCGATCAACGTGATCAACGACCAGAGCCTGACACCTCACATCACATCACATCCCTTTTATTGCTCAATTCTGCAGAGCTACTATCGAGTGCCGAGGGTGATACCTCGTAACACACTCCTGATGATAATTCTGTAGTGTAGCTATTCGGTCGTGGTCAACGAGGGTGATTCCTCCTTCACCATTCTCAATACGGCTCTGTCGTGCAACTCCTCAAGTGTGGACCTCGAGGGTGGTTCCTCTTACGTTCACCTTGATGATTACATAGAGTGGAATCCCCCGAGGGTGATTCCTCGGGTTTTCCTCCTTGATGTTTTGGACACACGGTTACCTTGACTTTACTTGAGACCTTTGTGAAAGTCGGGCGGGCCAGAGAGCACCCGCAGGATAATTACGTGGCATGGCCGGGCATTCTGGGCCCTTGCCGTAAGTCACGACGGGGCGACGGGGTCACATCGATCGTGAGTCTCTACTCGTCTCCGCAAGCTAATAATACACTATGGTTTGGGTATTTGTTCTGAGTTGGCCTTTGGCCTTTACGAACTAACCATCATGCGAGAATAGTTATGGGCCTCGACGACGTAGTATCAGCCGAAGCTTTGTCAGACGTCCAGTTCAGCATTGCGCCACAGCTGGGCCGGCACCCCAGAGGTGGTGTTTGGTCCGCCTTGCTCGCAACGACCCAGAGTGCAACGGGCGATGGGCCCAGATCCCGGAGTGCTTAGGATGTAGACCGGCGGGGACCTCTCTGCTGAGCCTAGGTACGGCTACGACGTGTTGATCTTCCGAGGCCGGGTATTGACCCAGAAAAGTGTGTCCGGCCAGAGTAATCAAGCGTGTTGAAAAACGTGGTGCACCCCTGCGAGAAAGATTATCTAGTAATAGTCGTGTCCACGGTAACGGGCATTCAGACTTATATCCTGATCTATTACAAATAGAAATGGTTACTTGGGATATGTGGCTTCAGGATTGCTTTCTCGCAGGGAGTCGAGGAAGGATCTCTGGGCATTAATACTACAACATGTTTCTTAAATATAAACTGCTATTCTTTACTCTTCTACATGCTGCAAGATACTTGGAGCTTCTTAAAGATGCTAGTCTTCGATAGGCTAGGCCTTCCCCTCTATTCTAGCATTCTGCAGTTCAGTCTACAGATACAACCCTTCATTTGATATCAATGCATACTTAGTATAGATCTGATGCTTGCGAGTACTTTGGATGAGTACTCACGGTTGCTTTGCTTCCCCCTTTTCCCCCTTCTTTCTTCTTTCCGGTTGTTGCAACCAGATGGTGGATCCCAGGAGCCAGATGCCACCCCAGTCGACTACTACTACTACCCAGAGGGTGCCTACTACGTGGAGACCGCCGACGACCAGGAGTAGTTAGGAGGTCCCAGGCAGGAGGCCTTGCCTCTTCGATCATTGTTGTTTTGTGCTTGCCTTCTTAAGGCAGTCTTGTTTAACTTATGTCTGTACCCAGATATTGTTGCTTCCGCTGACTCTTGTGTATCGAGCTATGTATTCGAGCCCTCGAGGCCCGTGGCTTGTAATATAAAGTTTCTATTATTTTATTTGTGTCTAGAGTTGTGTTGTGATTTCTTCCCGTGAGTCTTTAATCTTAATCGTACACATTTGCGTGTATGATTAGTGTACGATTGAATCGGAGGCATCACAATGGCTATAGAGCTGCAGGGAGAATAGAGAAGCAAAGGAAAAGCGGCGAGAAAGCAACGGAAAAGCCATGCATGGAGCAGGATGATTGATCGTCACGCTGCAACGGAGGCCGCCAAGAAAATTAAGCTGCTGCTAACGCGTAGACATAGCTTAGGGGAGACAGTGGGATCCCACTCTAGTCCTTTATGGCCTAGTTGGAATACTTTCTTGTAGTGCCTACTCCACATGCATATGCTAAAATTGTTCTCTCCAAATGCTATCTTCGTTTAACACGCTTTGGACAACCTAATAAAGTTTGATCATGGCATTAGCAAATTAAGCTGCACTCTTAGTTGCATGCTCGTTTCATGACTATAAATACACCCTTTGGGACTTAGGAGCCCCATGGTCAATCACCCTCTCAATTCTCAAACCGGGCTTGGCTGACCCCTGGAGCTCAGTGATCTACTCATGCAAAGCCTGAGAGAGTACGATTCCTTAATTAGTTGTTGCCCTTGGCATAGACCACCTCTCAGCAACAAAGATGAAGATCACCAACGCCCGGGCGCTCCTCAAGAAGGCAGCAGCTATGTGCAAGAGCAAGACCAGTGTCCTCACGGCCAGGCTCCTCATCCTCGCCTCCGTCCATCGCAGGTTGGCCACGGTCGGCGCCATTTCTCACAGGATCCATGCCCTCATTGTGGCTGACCGGGAGAAGGGTGCCAAAGTGGACTACCACAAGGCTCTCATGCTCCGCAAGGTTGAGAAGCCAAAGTACCAAGTCGGTGAGATGGTTGATCCGTCCCACCATCTAACATTGTTTGATCAAGAGGACGGTGTTGGTGGCTGCCCTGACTGGACACTGCACCCCATCTTCAGCGACAATGACGATTTCTGTTACACTGATGAGTATGGCAGTGATGATGATGATGGAGATGATCCCTCAGTGATGACTGCAATAAGGAGCAACCAGGAGGCTGATTTGGAATTCAATATGGACGACGATATTGACCTGGCTGCCGAAATGTTCATCAGAAGGTTCCGTGAGCAGATGGACGAGAACTTCTCGTGATGTTGTGTTCCATATATACCATGCATGGTAGCGCACATAGCTACTGCTAACAAAGTGACGGTAGCATTGATGAGAGTGAGATCGATAATGTAGATAGGCCAAGGACATTTGTGTCCATACCCAAGGATATGAGATTTTGCGGGTGTCCACAAGTTAGAAGTTTTTGATAGATACCTACCTCGTAAAATTTGTACTTATAACTGTAAGTGTGTCTCAAACGAAAGAAAAAACATTATATGAATTTTTTGGATTCCAAATCTTTTTCTGAATTGTTTGAACTAACTCTAACGGTCCTCTCTCTCCCCTCCCCCACCCCCTATACTTTGCTTAGCCGGCTTCCACCAAACGCCATCTTCTTGCCCACTACCCCGCCCTTCCAAAGTTCTCGTTATCGACAAGGACACCTAGGTTGCTAACCAGTCTTGGAGGGTATGGCCCACCACATTGCAGGTATTTGGTAAGCTCTGGCTCTCAGCCCCTTGGTATCTCTTGCGAACCAAGAATCATAACACTAAATTAAGTAGTTGGCCGCATTGGAAGAGTAGAGCAAATTAGTAGAAGGCTTCATATTGATAAAAGATATAGAATGAACACCCACAAAAAGAGTTTGTGTCTCAGTTAGCAGTCTAATAAAACTAATTTTGTAAGCCTGAAAAAGAAGGAAAAAAACATAAACTCCGTACCCATGGCCGTGGCGAAATCCGAACAAAGCTGAAAGTGTGGCTTTATTTTGATGAAATACAAGATTCTTTTCGTAAACATTGTGGAAATCACGAGATTGTGGCCATCTCTTCTCTCTCCCGGCTAGAGAGGCATGGGTGCACCTGATGCATAGATTCACCCTTGCAATACATGTGTTCTCTCCCGACCAAGATTTTGGCTACCTGATCCCACTTTTTTTCTCGAGGGGGAGCAAGATTCTCGATTACAATAGTAACCACAAAATTCCAGGTATATCCCGATCAAAAGATTTCAAACAAAATTTGGATGCCTTTTTGTAACTTTATTAGAGAGGTGTTGAATTTTTAATATACAAACATATAGTTGTGCACTTAGCACTGATGTCGCCTCTCTGTTGAACCTGTGTTGCAAGGTGGCCCTTCCGAAAACCAGCACCTGCTTATTCTTTTTTCGTATTACCATACTAAAAAGAAAATAAAAATGCGAGGCTGGGACTCGAATATGCAAGTTTAAATACATTTGATGCTCAATTTATCTATACGTGAATGTTCAAATTCAAAATTTCCAAAACATTCAATTTTTTTTTCAAAATATCATATATGCAAAATGCCCGGCGAATCGCGCGCGCTGTATTTTTGCGCTCTGCTGGAGCGGCGCGCGCTGCATTATAGCACGGCTGCTGAAGCCAGCGCAGGCGAGCGCGCAAAACCAGCCGCAGCGCGCGCGATAAACAGGTTTTTTTACGCGCGGCGCTTAGCGCGGCTGTTAGAGATGCTCTAACACCCACGTCTTCAACGCGGAGCGGCCATCCATCTCACACCTCACCTCCATGATCAAGGATGAGGCTAGCAGCTGGGCTCGTGTGGGTGCTCTAGGACTAACACATCATCATACCAGAGACGTAGCCTTGCTGCCTGGGGAGCACACACCTTCACACTGTGTTTGTGCGCACTTAACTCTGACTGCCACGTCACGTCTTCATGTTGTTAGAGGTCCCCTGTAGCTACTCTATGCTACTTTTCCTACCTATTCGCGGAAAAATTAGCGTATTCGCGGAAAAATTAGATAAGCTCAAATAAGAAGGAAAAAACACAAACGCCGTACTAATGCCCATGGGGAAATCCAGACAAAGCTGAAAGTATGGCTTGATTTTGATGAAATACAAGATTCTTTTTGTAAATATGGCGGCAGTCAAGAGGTTGTGCCCATCTCTTCTCCATCCAACGGCTAGAGATGCATGGATGCAACTGATACATAGATTCGCCCCTTGCACTAGATACGTTCTCTCCCGACCAAGATTTCGGCTACCTGATGCCATTTTTTTTTCTAGGACAGCGGATTTCCCGGTTACCATTGTAACCACAAAATTCAGATGACGCTAATTTATGTACGCAAACGTTTAGATTCAAAAAAGCCACGCTCAATTTATGTATGCGAATGTTTAAATTCAAAATATTTAAAATGTTTGCTATTTTTTGTCCAATACTTGCATTTACCCAGGGGCGGTCAGAGACGTGGTTACCGAAAAAGACTTACGCCCGCTTTATATATAAAGCAATGACCGACCACAGCTCAGATACAAACGCACACCACCACAACACACGCACACACCCAAGGCTGGATACATAGGCGCTGAGCGCAGCAACACTACCCCTAGTACTACAAGAGCAACCGGAGTCCTCAACCGCGGACACGCCAACGCGAAGAGAAGAAGCCGCATATGACGAACCGTGTGCTCCAAGGCGGCGCCTTCAGGAAGGTTACGTCACCAGAGCGCCGTCACTACCCGACCCGAGGATCAGAATTTCCCCTGGAGCAACACGACAGGCAATGAGAGCCGCGACGACGCCTTCAAAAAGGGAGCGAGCTTCGCTGCTGCCAGTCCGTCCGAAGATAGATCAGGTTTTCACCCCGGCCAACACTCACCATCATCGGACGCCACATCCCATTGACCACGCCGTCCACATGGCCATGGCCACCGGGCAGCACCTAGCCACGGGCTTTGCCCAAGAGCACCACGGAGCCACCACCAGGGCCGCCGTCCTGGCATCCAAGACCTGGACACCACCTCACTCGAGATCCATCGCTACCCCAACCAAAGATACGAGCGGAAAGGAACTGCCTTTCGCACCCTTGGGCTTCCCCCAACGCCGAAACCTAAAGGCCGGCCAAAATTGGCCTCCATCGACCCGTCCTGCTGCCAGGCGCGAGATGAGCACCGTCCTGCTGCCGGACGCAAGACGAGCATGATCCTGCTGCCGGGCGTGAGACGAGGTCGGTCCTGCTGCCGGGCGCGAGACTTGGTCAGTCCTGCTACCGGGCGCGAGACGAGCTCGGGCCTGCTGCCGAGCGTGAGACGAGCGATGGACTGTAGTCGGGGAAGGGCCGAACCTTCAACGAAGGTAGCAACCAGACGGCGAGGAGAGGGCCCAAGGTCGAAACGGACCGCCTACAGACAAGCCGACACCGGAAAGCTAGCCGCCACCCCAGTCAACCCGCCGAGTTGCCGTGGAGCCGGCACGGCGAAGCCACCTCGCCGCCGCCACCCACAGCTGGGACCGCAGGCATGCCGGGCCGGGCCCCAACCCCGCGCCGCCGGCCGGCAAAAGGCGAAATCCGGCCGGCACGCAACACCACCGCCGCCACCGTGCCTTGCCGATGACGACGGGCGCATCAGCCCCTGCGCGCCGCTGGCAGGCCCTTGCCGCCGACCCGCCGAACCAGAGCCGCCGGGGCCTCCACCACGCGCAGCCACCGTGCCACCCACACGGCCCAGGACGGCCAGCACCGCCGCATCTCGCTGACGGTGCGCGCCCACCAGATCCGAGCAAAAGAAGCCCCGATTCATCACCAAAACGGTCAGCCGCCGCTCCTCCATCGCGAGGGAGACATAGAGGAGGAGGCCGCCGCTCCCTGGGGCTGCCGCCCCAGCATCCAGTGCCATCGCGCCGCAGAAGAGGCCGGAGGGCCATATCCGCGCTGGCGCGTAGCTCCGCGATGCACGCCTCGTCGTCCGGGGTCGGCCTTCGCGCGCGACCAGAGAGAAAGGCCCACCGCCGCCGGCAGCCGCACGGGCTTTGCCCGGCGGGGACGCCCGATGGCGGCGAGGGGGGAGAGAGCAGGTGGGGGTGGCGGCGGCGGGGTTAGGTCACCCGAGCCGCCCTCCTAGAGAGCGACGCGGTTTCAGAAATGTGGTTATCGGGTGATAATCAAATTGTGGACCAAGGATAAAATCACCCGATTCTAAAGGTTGAGATAATTAGCACCCCTTGCGCGCCAAGCATCACCATTCAAACACTCAAGACGGATCACCCGGCAGAACAAAAATATCTTCCCACGGTTAAAATCCGGAAATATACACCCACGCGGCCACGCCATGTATAAATGAGAATTGATGTGATTGTTGTCACAGGACGCCAAGTCAAAAACTCCATAAAGGTGTTTGGAGACTTGCGAAAGCATGAAAAAACACGGAAGCTCCCATATAGATCTATCACGGAGATTGCTCCCTTCTACTTTCTGCTAGTTGACGAGCGAGCAGGAAAGCGGCCGGAGGAGAGGCAAAGCTACGCAGATCTCACGTACAGCAACGCAAAGCAGCGGGGAAAACGAAGAAAAATCAGAGACGCGTAGCTGCAACCTTTGGAATTCCGAGCGTGAATCACACGACCGGAGACCCGGCAAGGAAAGCTGTCCGGTCTGCTTGCTTTGGGCAAAATTATTCTAAGCCATCTATCAGCTAGCTTTACCACTTGATTAAAGGAGAGATATTGGCAGTTTGGTACCCCAACCCAAAAGGGCCAATCCTAGCCCTGGGACAGGTGCCTTTCGTGACTTATTAATACATACTTCCCCATAAGTTCCTTGCTTAGTTCCACTGTCAACATTCTTATAGTGCTCACTCCACATGCCTATTTTTTCTCTCTGGTATATGCTATTGCTAGCTGCTTTCACATGCTTTATCACGCGAGGAACCAAAAGTTTGATCCTGACATGACCTATGGTGGTTGCAATGTTAATTGCATGCTCAGCTTCCGACTATAAATGCACCATTGGAGCCTCAGGACAAAGCCCATGCCTCATTTCAAGACAGCTTCTCTCATCTCTGTATCCCAGTGACCTACCCGATTCCAAGCCTGAGGCACCATAGCTTAGCATCCTACTTATTTCCCTTCATAACCAGCTCGACCATCTCTCAGAACCAAAGATGAAGATCGGGAAGGCTCCTGAGCTCTTGAAGAAGGCGGCAGCAATGTGCAAGAGCAAGACCGCAAGGCTCCTCATCCTTGCCTCGCTCCAGCGCCGTGGGATGGCTAGAA